GTTAAAGTAGTAAACAGACATGAGGGCAATCAACACTTTATTCACAACCAGAACTCTGCTATGGGAGTCTCACTGCTACAAAACAAAGAAAGCAAAACATAAAGGCAATAAATGAATATGCATGTCAAGATGCATTACATCGTTGTGTAACTTGTTTACTCTTGTGTACATTTAGAGTCATTTTACAGGGACTTCTTTTCACAGTGAATATTTTCTAAATGCTTTCTCATCTTAAATACTAACTAAAGTGGGGTTTGACAGAGCAGAGAAGAAATTCAGAGAGATTTCAAGACAGGACAAATGGACAAATACAGAGCTAGGAAAATTCATCAGGCTACGTTCTTATCTAAAATATAATATTTGTCAACTGATATCAAACACAAAAGAGAGGTCTGCCTCTTTTTCTGTTTTATAAAAAATATTGTAAACATTTATATTAATTGCACAACATACATTCAAATACATACTGTACAGCAAGTCTTTATTTTTCGCAATGTTATCATAGCACCATGAATAGCAAGCTGAACAAACTAACCTGATTGGATCTAGCAGGTTGCATTAGCAATACAAAGGAGTAAAATGACATCCACTAATGAAATGTAAGCATTCTGCTGGTGTGAAGATGCTTGTTTGGTAGTCTTGTTTGTACCATTGTCTAGGAGAGTGGGGTAGTGATTAGAGAAGACCCATCCTGGGTTTGGAGTGAACTAGGGGGGATAAGCAAGGTGGTGATGTGATGTGTCTTTCATGTCCTAACCAGCTCCATCCCCATACAGTCTGGTGTGTTGTCGTCCTCACTCCTGTCTCATCCTTGGGGGGGTGTAAAGAATCCTTGCATGACATTTGATCAATGTTAATGTAAGGTACAGTTGAAGTCGGAAGTTTACATACACTTAGGTTGGAGTCATTAAAACTCGTTTTTCAACCACTCCACAAATTTCTTGTTAACAAACTATAATTTTGGCAAGTCGGTTAGGACATCTACTTTGTGCATGACACAAGTAATTTTTCTAACAATTGTTTACAGACAGATCATTTCACTTATAATTCCAGTAGGTCAGAAGTTTACATACACTAAGTTGACTGTGCCTTTAAACAGCTTGGACATTTTCAGAAAATGATGTCATGGCTTTAGAAGCTTCTGATAGGCTAATTTACATCATTTGAGTCAATTGGAGGTGTACCTGTGGATGTATTTCAAGGCCTACCTTCAAACTCAGTGCTTTGCTTGACATCATGGGAAAATCAAAAGAAATCAGCCAAGACCTCAGAAAAATAATTGTAGACCTCCACAAGTCTGGTTCATCCTTGGGAGCAATTTCCAAACACCTGAAGGTACCACATTCATCTGTACAAACAATAGTATGCAGATATAAACACCATGGGACCACGCAGCGGTCATACCACTCAGGAAGGAGATGAACATACTTTGGTGCGAAAAGGAGGACATTCCTCTGTGAGTGAATGAGTGTGTGTGAGAGAAAAAGAGAGGTTATAGTTCAGTTTGCTTTGCGATGATCAGAGGTATCTGCTGGGTATGAGCAGGAGCATCCTCCATAAACTCATACAATAATGGTAGATCAGGTTACATTCCCATGAAGTCTGTACAAAGTCATCAGGTTCTCCAGTAGTTCTGGTCCTCCTCTATTGGCAGACTGCAATGTGGTGGGATGGTTGTGGGACACAGGTTGTTAACCAACCCATCCTTCCCAAATCTGCCCTCTGTATAAACAACACATACATTTTACATTTTAGTCACTAACTTACAGTTAGTGAGTGCATACATTTTTTCCCCATTTTTTTTTCATACTGGCCCCCCGTGGGAATCGAACCCACAACCCTGGCGTTGCAAATGCCATGCTCTACCAACTGAGCTACATCCCTGTCAGCCATTCCATTCCCTCCCCTACCCTAGACGACGCTGGGCCAATTGTGTGCCACCCCATGGGTCTCCCGGTCGCGGCCGGCTACAACAGAGCCTGGATTCAAACCAGGATCTCTAGTGGCACAGCTAGCACTGCGATGCAGTGCCTTAGACCACTGAGCCACTCGGGGACACACATAGAAGGTTATATATCAGTGTTTCAATAGTATACATTGCTGATAACAGTAGTTCCAGCAACTAATAAGAAAAAACTAGAAGATGACTCTGACAAGAAATGACCAGAAAATACCAAAGACAAAGGACACCTCATCAGCACAATACCACAATACCTGACTTTGAAAAGTGAGTCTATCTAAACCTTAACGGCATGGCACTGAAATGCAGGTAAGTATTAGTTACATGAAAAGCCTGGAACGAGAAGGTTGAAAAGCATGCTGCTGGGCCATCTGACAAAGCAAGATAATCTGGATGAAGGAGGTTGGCTGAACTGAGAGGAACAGATGGGTTATGACAAACTCACAGCGATTTGGAAGAGGGCTTCTTCACTTTTGGCCTCTTTCGACGATGAACTGGCCTGAAGCATGTACAGAGCCGACACATACACGCACGTGCAGGGGAAACACACACATACAAACAGCGGAAACAAGCAATTAGGATTCATTGCAAAATGAGGAACAGAAGCTGCTACAGTACCATGCTTGCATTTTAGAATTCACCTTGTGCTAAAAAGTTGTTCATTAATAGAATCAACAACATTACAATTTGTGCAGAATAATAGTGAAGACATCAAAACTCTGAAATAACACATATTGAATCATGTAGTAACCAAAAAAGTGTTTAACAAATCAAAATATATTTTATATTTGAGATTCTTCAAAGTAGCCACCCTTTGCCTTGATGACAGCTTTGCACACTCTTGGCATTCTCTCAACCAGCTTCATGAGGTAGTCACCTGGAATGCTTTTCCAACAGTTCCCACATATGCTGAGGACTTGTTGGCTGCTTTTCCTTCACTCTGCGGTCCAACTCATCCCAAACCATCTCAATTGGGTTGAGGTCGGGTGATTGTGGAGGCCAGGTCATCTGATGCAGCACTCCATCACCCCCCTTCTTGGTAAAATAGCCCTTACACAGCCTTAAACAGTGTGTTTTGGGTCATTGTCCTTTTAAAAAACTAATGATAGTCCCATTAAGCGCAAACCAGATGGGATGGCGTATCGCTACAGAATGCTGTGATAGCCAAGATGCTGTCTATCCCCGAGCCGACTAGGTGAAAAATCTGTCGATGTGCCCTTGAGCAAGGCACTTAACCCTAATTGCTCCTGTAAGTCGCTCTGGATAAGAGCGTCTGCTAAATAACAAAAATAAATAAAAAATAAATAAAAAATGATGATGTGCCATTAATTCTATATAAATCACTGACAGTGTCACCAGCAAACACCCCCACACCATCACACCTCCTCCTCCATTCTTCACGGTGGGAACCACACATGCAGAGATCATCCGTTCACCTACTCTGCGTCTCACAAAGACACAGCAGTTGGAACCAAAAATCGCACATTTGGACTCATCAGACCAAAGGACAGATTTCCACCGGTCTAATGTCCATTGCTCGTGTTCCTTGACCCAAGCAAGTCTCTTCTTCTTATTGGTGTCCTTTAGTAGTGGTGTCTTTGCAGCAATTCGACCATGAAGGCCTGATTCACGCAGTCTCCTCTGAACAGTTGATGTTGAGATATGTCTGTTACTTGAACTCTGTGAAGCATTTATTTGGGCTGCAATCTGAGGTGCAGTTAATTGCCTATTTCTGAGGATGGTAACTCTAATGAACTTAACCTCTGCAGCAGAGGTAACTCTGGGTCTTCCTTTCCTGTGGCGGTCCTCATGAGAGCCAGTTTCGTCATAGCGCTTGATGGTTTTTGCGACTGTACTTGAAGAAACGTTCAAAGTTCTTGAAATTTTCCGGATTGAATTACCTTCATGTCTTAAAGTAATGATGGACTGTCATTTCTCTTTGCTTATTTGAGCTGTTCTTGCCATAATATGGACTTGGTCTTTTACCAAATAGGGCTATCTTCTGTATACCAACCCTACCTTGTCACAACACAACTGATTGGCTTAGATGCATTCAGAAGGAAATAAATTACACAAATTAACTTTTAACCTGTTAATTGAAATGCATTCCAGTTGAGTACCTCATGAAGCTAGTTGAGCGAATGTCAAGAGTGTGCAAAGCTGTCATCAAGGCAAAGGGCTACTTTGAAGAATCTTTAGTTTGTTTAACACATTTTTGGTTACTACATGATTTCATATGTGTTATTTCATAGTTTTGATGTCTTCACTATTATTCTACAATGTAGAAAATAGTAAAAATAAAGAAAATCCCTGGAATGAGTAGGTGTGTCCAAACGTTTGACTCGTACTGTATATCTTTAACTTGAATGATTTATTGTTAGTCTTATTTATCCTTGTTACGGATACAGGTATCCTGTATGTGTATTTGTGTTTTTCCTCTCATTCTGCCCTATTCACAGGTGTTCCTGATTGGTGGTCGTTGGTGAAAAAACGTACAATAAGACAACAAAGGACAAAAATACATAAAGCCTGACAAATTAGGGTACCTGTATTCACTTAAAGAGTTTCTGTCTTTACCACCTGAAATAGAGAACATTTTATTAAAGAACCGAAGTAGCAGTGGTTTGTTTGTATGTACGTACGTATGTATGTACGTACGTATGTATGTACGTACGTATGTATGTATGTATGTATGTGTGTGTGTATCTGTGTGTATGTGTGTGTGTGTGTGTCTTTCTGACTCACCCGTCTCTGGATTGCATTGCTTGTGGCCTTTGCAGCTCCGCAGTTCCATAAGCTGCTGGTGCATCTGGTTGAGGGCAGTGCGGTCCAGGGTGCTAACCCCATTTATCAACTATAGACAAACAAATTAACAGAGGACAGGATATGTTACCAAACACTGTAAAAAAATCACAATAGGAGGCTATAGCTCATTTGTGAGATTTAAAAGAGAGAGGGAGAGTGAGAGAGAGAGAGAGAGAGCGACCTGATATGGGTCAGTGTTCAGATCGAAGTACTCCATGAAACCCGTGGCGAACTCGCAGAATATGAAGTTGTGTGTGTCGTTGATGGTCCTGAGGCACCAGTAAGTGTTGTTGTTGGCACTGGTACAAGCACAGAATGGACCCACTGGCAGGGGATGGAAAGAGACAGAGGGAGTTATTAAAAAAAGATGCATGGCAGAGTGGTAAAAATTCAGGAATCCCATGTCTCTTTACTTTTACTACAACTGTTACTACTGTTTTGCATTTGATTTAGTCTGCATTCTGTCATTCCATACTTGTCCAGAAGGGGGCAGTCTGCCAGTGCTGGTTGTCGTGGGTGAAGCAGGTGAGACCAGGCATGCTGCAGGTGTCGTTGTTGCGGAGCCTCTTGAGCAGTTTACGGAGTTTCTTCCTACGTTTCTGCTCCTTCATCAGCCACTGCTTCTTCTGCTTAGAGGGCATTTTGCTGAGGACACACCACAAGAGGACATATAAAGAGAGATACACAGGTTTGTGAGGATCTCTCTCTCACACACGCACAAACACATGCACATACACACCACCATCTCACAATCATTACTTGAGTGAGTGAATGCGGCCTGCATCGAGTCTGAACATCCCTTTGTTCTTGGACAGGTAACTGGGGGTGTTACACTGGCACTCTTCAGGCCGAACCTTCTTCAGGTGACTTTTGACCTCACGCAAGTTCTTTATTTTCGTCTGCAGGGTTTCAATCTGCACACAACACATACAAAATAGTTAACCTCCGCAATGGCAGGAAAGGCTACAGACCAGCCAGGTCAGATTGAGGATCAACTAGATCAGTACCTCATGCTCAATGTGGAGCTTATGGTCTTTCCAGGCCTGGAGGGATTTGTAGAGTCCTCCATCACACCTGACTGTGTCATTCATCAGGATGGAGCACCTGTGGGGTAAACACACACCAGCTACTGTATCAGCACCTTTACCTGACAACTGCATTTACCACAGTTTACAGCAGTTAGCACTTTCTTACAGCACCCTCTCAACACCTGAGATTGAATTACTGTAGGGCTACTGTGCTTCACAAGAACATAAAGATTAATCACACTACTACTCAAAGACCCACTAACATGGAAACTCAACACACATATTCACACATATTCACAGACATACACACACAAGACACACACACACACACACACACACACACACAACACACACACACCTGTAGGTGACTTTAAGAGCAGCAGGTGGTGTAAGGCTGTTGCTGGTTGTGGGTCTGGCTGTGACTCCCATGCCACTGAACTCCTCATCGTCGTCCTCCTGCAGGACCGCTCCTCTCCTCTTCTCCCCAGGCCTGCTGGTGTTCCTGAGGCCCACAGGCCTGTAGCCCTCCTCCAGGTCCACAGCATATAGGTCTCCATCCAGTTCAAAGGGAATGGACCGGGCCCAACGGTTCCTAGTCAGACTCTTACTGGACTTTACCTCTGATGGGGTTACAATAGTTATTAGTTACAATGTTATTATTACAAAGGTATTGCAAAGTCAATGACCCAAGAGAGAGAGGGTGTTAAAGTACATAGCATTTGTCACTGTTTTTAAATGACTCACAGGAGGTCACTTGAAACTGAAATTGAATTATGTTTCTTCTTTAAGGTTGCAGCCCCTATCATCGCCAAGCCTGTCTCTGACCTTTTTAACCTGTCTCTCCTGTCTGGGGAGGTTCCCATTGCTTGGAAGGCAGCCACGGTGCATCCTTTATTTAAAGGGGGAGATCAAGCTGATCCTAACTGTTATAGGCCAATTTCTATTTTGCCCTGTTTATCAAAAGTGTTGGAAAAACGTGTCAATATTCAGCTGACTGGCTTTCTTGATGTCTATAGTATTCTCTCTGGTATGCAATCTGGTTTCCGCTCAGGTTATGGATGTGTCATTACAACCTTAAAGGTCCTAAATGATGTCACCATTGCCCTTGATTCTAAGCAATGTTGTGCTGCTATTTTTATTGACTTGGCCAAAGCTTTTGATACGGTAGACCATTCTATCCTTGTCGGCCGGCTAAGGAGTATTGGTGTCTCTGGGGGGTCTTTGGCCTGGTTTTCTAACTACCTATCTCAAAGAGTGCAGTGTATAAAGTCAGAACATCTACTGTCTCAGCCACTGCCTGTCACCAAGGGAGTACCCCATGGCTCGATCTTAGGCCCCCCACTCTTCTCAATTTACATCAACAATATAGCTCAGGCAGTTGGAAGCTCTCTCATACATTTATATGCAGATGACACAGTCTTATACTCAGCTGGCCACCTCCCCGGATTTTGTGTTAAACGCTCTACAACAAAGCTTTCTTAGTGTCCAACAAGCTTTCTCTGCCCTTAACCTTGTTCTGAACACCTCCAAAACAAAGGTAATGTGGTTTGGTAAGAAGAATGCCCCTCTCCCCACTGGTAGTCACCTCATACAAGTACTTGGGAGTATGGCTAGACAGTACACTGTCCTTCTCTCAGCACATATCCAAGCTGCAGGCTAAGGTTAAATCTAGACTTGGTTTCCTCTATCGTAATCACTCCTCTTTCACCCCAGCTGCCAAACTAACCCTGATTCAGATGACCATCCTAACCATGCTAGATTACAGAGACATAATTTATAGATTGGCAGGTAAGGATGCTCTCGAGCGGCTAGATGTTCTTTACCATTCGGCCATCAGATTTGCCACCAATGCTCCTTATAGGACACGTCGCTGCACTCTATACTCCTCTGTAAACAGGTAATCTCTGTATACGGGTCGCAAGACCCACTGGTTGATGCTTATTTACAAAACCCTCTTAGGCCTCACTCACCCCTATCTAAGATACCTACTGCAGCCCTCATCCTCCACATACAACACCCGTTCTGCCAGTCACATTCTGTTAAAGGTCCCCAAAGCACACACATTCCTGGGTCGCTCCTCTTTCCAGTTCGTTGCAGCTAGCGACTGGAACGAGCTGCAAAAAACACTCAAACTGGACAGTTTTATCTCCATCTCTTCATTCAAAAACTAAATCATGGACACTCTTACTGACAGTTGTGGCTGCTTCACGTGATGTATTGTTGTCTCTACCTTCTTGCCCTTTGTGCTGTTGTCTGTGCCCATAATGTTTGTACCATGTCTTGTGCTGCTACCATGTTGTGCTGCTGCCATGTTGTGTTGCTACCATGTTGTTTTCATGTTGGGTTGCTACCTTGCTGTGTTGTCGTGTGTTGCTGCCATGCTATGTTGTTGTCTTAGGTCTCTCTTTATGTAGTGTTGTGTTGTCTCTCTTGTTGTGATGTGTGTTTGGTCCTATATTTCTTTTTTAAATCCCAGTCCCCGTCTCTGCAGGAGGCCTTTTGCCTTTTGGTAGGCCGTCATTGTAGATAAGAATTTGTTCTTAACTGACTTGCCTAGTTAAATAAAGGTTATGTGTGGTCCTCTGTAGCTCAGCTGGTAGAGCACGGCGCTTGTAACGCCAAGGTAGTGGGTTCGATCCCCGGGACCACCCATACACAAATAAAAATGTATGTACGCATGACTGTATGTCGCTTTGGATAAAAGCGTCTGCTAAATGGCATATTATTATTATTATTAAATAAATACAATACAAATAAAACATTCAATAAAAAAAAACAATTTGTGTAAAGTTTTCTAATCTGCCACTGGGTGGCAGCAAACACTTGTCCTATAATTTGCAAGCACAATTTATAAGCCTTTGATAATAAGTAAATCTATAAGCCACTGAAAGGACTACTCACTATTCTTGGTAAGCAGTCTCTTCCTCTTCAGGGGTGTAATTTTGGGGCCTAGAGGGCCACAATCACAGCTGTCTCCAGCATTGGAGACATGTCCAACCCACTGCTGGGACCCGCTGCTGGCCATCAGAGCCTGCATACGTGGGGCATAGAGACTGGCCATGCCCTTACACTTATACAGCCTCAGTTTACCAGACGGGTCCTCCACACACTGCCACTTCTACACACATAGAGAGGGGAAAAGGGGGGAGAGATTTAGCTATATTTCTGCTAATGTATAATTGTTTGTGCGCGTGTGTGTGTGTGCGTGTGCCTGTGGGTATTGTACAGAACTCTTACCTGTCCTGGCTGTTCACAGGAGCTCTGGTACTCTGCCCTTTGACACAGGTCTTTAACCCGCTGGTACTTGGGGAGGAAGTTCTCCTCCTGGGCCACCTCCTTCCCATCAGCCTTCTTGTGGAGCAGCTTCCTGTGTGAACAGGATGGACTCAGATGAGAGCAATAGAACATAGACCAAACATACATCAAACTTTGACCACTTGGTTGTGGGGAATTATGAAGTAATTCTGAAATTTTTGTATCCCTTTAATTACACTTGATTAATGACTTGATTATGAATGTAACATACTGACCCTCTCTCTACCAGGAAAGAGTCCCTCCACATCTTCCCCTTCTTGTTCACCTGGAACCTGCAACAAAAGCAAGACATTTTAAGTCATCCTGAAGCGACATGGAGTGTCCATTGTGTTAAGTTCAAACCATGCAAATTAAGTTGTGACCCTCTGTACCTGTTGACAGGTTTGTCTGTGTCCAGGAGTTTGAGGATGGACTTGCCGTCCATATCAGAGGGAACATCGGCACCGGCCATGTCCAACAGTGTAGGAGCCAGGTCAATGTTCAGCACCACATGAGGGTTACTGCAGAAGGACACAAGAGCAGGTGGGGAGAGAGATGAGTGCTGCATAAGATATATTATCAAGAGAGTAGTAGTAACAGTGAGATGAGAGCCAAAAGCTAACCATTTCCATTGAAAAAACATATTCTAAAAAAGGTACTGTACAAATCTCCAAAGTTGCACTCACATGGCTCCTGCCTCCACGTTGGGGCCTCGTATGTAGAAGGGCACCCGGATGTCAAACTCGTAGGGCATGGACTTGCCCTTGACCAGGCCGTACTGACCAATGTGGTAGCCGTGGTCTGATGTGTAAACAATGTAGGTGTTGTCCAACTCACCTGTCTCCACCAGCATGTTGTACACCTGAGGAGGAGGACACAGTGAGACAGGTAGTGAAGTAGATTTAGTTGAGCATGAGAGACTATTTTCTGCCTGCCTGTCTGCCTGTTTTCCTGTCTGCCTGCCTGCATGCCTGCCTGTCTGTCTGCCTGCCTGCCTGTCTGTCTGTCTGTCTGTCTGTCTGTCTGTCTGTCTGTCTGTCTGTCTGTCTGTCTGTCTGTCTGTCTGTCTGTCTGTCTGTCTGTCTGTCTGTCTGTCTGTCTGTCTGTCTGTCTGCCTTCCTACCTATCTGTCTGTCAGTCTGCCTGTCTGACCCACCTTGTCCACACAGTCGTCCACAGACAGCAGGGTCTGCATCCTCCGGCGCTGCAGCATGTTGGTGAACTGCATGTGGATGGGTTTCATGGGGCCTGTGTAGCGCAGGATCCAGTGCTTGTCTGGGTTAGGAGCATAGTTATAGCTCGGGGTTCTGAGAAAGGAATGGATGGAAAACGAGGTTGAAGATAAAGCCAGTAAATGGGGGAAATAATCTCAGAAGAAGAAAGCTGTCACGATCGTTACAAGAAGCGGACCAAGGCGCAGCGTGATATGCGTACATACTTTTATTTTAGTACACCACACGAACAAAACAACAAACCAAATGATACGTGAAGTCCTAGGTTAAATAACACCAAAACAAACCTTACGGAACAAGATCCCACAATAAACAGTGCCAAGCAGGCTGCCTAAGTATGGTCCCCAATCAGAGACAACGAGAATCAGCTGCTTCTGATTGGGAACCACCCTGGCCAACATAGATCTACACGATCTAGATCATGAACATAGAAAATACAACATAGACACTACACACCCTGGCTCAACATTTAAGAGTCCCCAGAGCCAGGGCGTGACAGTACCCCCCCCCCCCCCAAAGGCGCGGACTGCGACCGCGCCAACCAAACACAAGAGGGTAGGGGCCGGGTGGGCATTCCGCCTCGGAGGCGGATCCGGCTCCGGGCGTGACCACTACTCTCTCTCTACCCCCCCCCGTAGCGCCCCTGGTCTGGTCTGGCCCCGCTGGCCGGAGCTGGACTGGACATCGGTGGAGCGGATTGCTCTGGCTCCGGTGTGGAGCAGCTGACCGGTGCCGGACCAGGCACCGGTGGAACAGGCACGGACCGTGCCGGGCTGACGACGCGCACCACTGGTTTGGTGCGGGGAGCAGGAACGGGCCGGACCGGGCTGACGACACGCACCACTGGCTTGGTGCGGGGAGCAGGGACGGGCCGGACCGGGCTGGCGACGCGCACCACTGGCTTGGTGCGGGGAGCAGGAACAGGCAGGACCGGGCTGGCGACGCGCACCACTGGTTTGGTGCGAGGGACAGGAACAGGCCGGACCGGGCTGACGACGCGCACCACTGGCTTGGTGCGGGGCGCAGGAACAGGCCGGACCGGGCTGGCGACGCGCACCACTGGCTTGGTGCGGGGAGCAGGAACGGGCCGGACCGGGCTGGCGACGCGCACCACTGGCTTGGTGCGGGGAGCAGGAACAGACCGGGCTGGCGACGCGCACCACAGGCTTGGTGCGAGGGACAGGAACAGGCCGGGCTGGACTGTGGAGACGGACTGGAGGTCTGGAACGGAGAGCTGACACAACCCGTCCTGGCTGAATGCCTATTTCCACACACTCTGTGTGAGGCATCAGCACAGGACATACAGGGCTGTGCACTCGTACTGACACTACAGCACGTGGCACTGGCGCAGGATATCCGGGACCGAGGAGGGGTACTGGAGGCCACGAGCGTTGAGCCGGCACACTCCGTCCTGGCTGCATGCCCACCTTAGCACGACACGTGCGTGGTGCTAGCACAGGACGTACAGGACTGTGCCGGAACACTCGCGGCACAGTACGTAGCTCTGCATAACTCGGAACCTGCCCAGTCTCACGCTGCCTAGCCTGAGTACGGGGAGTTGGCTCTGCTCTACCTCTAGGCTCCGCCAACCACCCTTCCAGCCCCCCAAACCTGGTGGCCTCCTCTCCTAAATCGCCGATGCGCCCTGTAGCTGCCTCCAGCAGCCCCGTCGTCCATGCCGTGTGCCCCCCCCAAAAAAATGTATTGGGGTTGCCTCTCGCGTGTCCGTCGTCGGCACGGTTGGTGCCGTTTCTCCTCTCTTGCCAGTGCCTGTACCTTTGCCCAGGGCCCTCTGCCCGCGAATATGTCCTCCCAAGACCACCATTCGCCCACCTGGGACATCGCCAACTCCTCCTGCTTGGCACGCTGCTTGGTCCTTTTATGGTGGGATCTTCTGTCACGATCGTTACAAGAAGCGGACCAAGGCGCAGCGTGATATGCGTACATACTTTTATTGTACTGAATACACGATCTAAACAACAAACCAAACCATACGTGAAGTCCTAGGTTAAATAACACCAAAACAAACCTTCCGGAACAAGATCCCACAATAAACAGTGCCAAACAGGCTGCCTAAGTATGGTCCCCAATCAGAGACAACGAGAATCAGCTGCCTCTGATTGGGAACCACCCTGGCCAACATAGATCTACACGATCTAGATCATGAACATAGAAAATACAACATAGACACTACACACCCTGTGACAAAAGCACCTGCTCACATTCTTAGCTCTCAACACATTTTATCTTCATTAACGTGTCTTGGATCTGACTTTTTTTACCAAGCACATGAGACAGAGGAGTGCTTACTGCGCTGATATTTTCACCATTATGTCTCCAGAAATCCCAGAGGAGCTTAAAGCTGAAATCTGTCGTTGGTGAAACTGCCACGTTTGTTTACAATATTACAATAGAACAGAAATATGTACTACGACTTTTTCTTTACCACGATGCTCCTCTCCTTCCTCCGTTTCATAAAAAAATTTTTTTATAAAATGTAAGGCGCTGGGGTGAACAGTGGTTCTGTGTCCCCCTTTACGGAAAGCATTTTAGAGCTCACATTCTATAGAGGTGACATATCTTTTGAATGAACACTGAATATTATTATGGTAGAGGACATTGTAATAGTGCTCACAGTATTCATGGTAGAGTGTTTAATATGCATAGCTGAATAGCCTAAATGTGAAATTCTGGTGTGAAGGAAGCATTGTTATATTGCATTGTATTGTATTGCATTGTGTTGTATTGCATATTGTCCTGTGTTGCATTGAATTGCATTGTCATATGAATTCCAATAGAAATCAGATTATACAAAGCTGTGATTGGCTTCATGATGTAGGGGTTGGAACTAAAATTATTTTCCAATCGTTTTGTTCCGAACAAAACCAGTATTTTTCTCGTTCAGTTCCAGTTTTCCGACCAGCATAATAAAGTTCTGAACCGTTTCGAACCCCAAAAAAGAACGGTTCATATAGTTCCTTTTTGTAAAAAAATGTACACGTCAAATCAACATAGTTTTTACATTTATCAAATTGATTTACTCCACAATTAGAGCGGATAGAGCATATTACTAGTGAAAGAGTAAGCTTGGCTTGAAGTGTTCCCGGTTCTGTTTCCGTTCCTCTAAATGTTTTGTTATTTTCCCTGAACCGGTTCCAACCCCTGTGTTGTTTTATGATTGGCATATACAACAATAGGCTCTCCCAGTGCTTGCAAATGGCTCCAACCACACCTTTGAAACTGACCTCATAACTTGTTGTGTATGCTGAATTGGAGGCATATAAACCACAGAAAAGGCAACCAGCTGCTATACTGATCAATATCAGCTAACATGGAGAGGACAATTTTATCAATATTAACTCAGGGGCAGATGGAACCTTAATTATTTCAAAAATAAACACACTGCTAAATATCTAATGAGGTCTTGGAGGCAAGGCATATTTAACAGCATATCGATTTGACTTGGAAATAAGTTAATCATCTATGGCCTTGGGGCACAAGGCCCTGACAACAGATTTAAACAGAAGATGAAGATGAGTCACTGCAATGTGGACGTGAAAAGGGTTTTCCGGAAGGATGAAGTAAGAGGGGAGCCATTTTCTTTTCCTCCATAAAGGGAAAGTAAGATAATCTATGAACTCACACCGAAGGAGTGTGTGTAGATTTCTGAGAAAAAGCTAGCTCAGTTGGTAGAGCATGGCGCTTGCAATGCCAGGGTTGTGGGTTCATTTCCCACGGGGGGCCAGTATGAAAATGTATGCACTCACTAACTGTAAGTCGCTCTGGATAAGAGCATCTGCTAAATGACTACAAAAAAATAAAAAAATAAAAACAGCATGGGCTGAACATAATCCCTGTGTAGCACTTTTATTCAATACTTTAATTATGCTTATGGGATTCACTTTTACAGGAGAGGATGATCGACCAAAGACACAGACTCATTACTGCCTTCCTGTTTGTCTCTCACAGGACGAATGGGAGAGGTGGTATTAGCCCAGGACCAAGTGCTTATCTTCGGGGTACTGTGCCAAGCAGACAAAGGCTGGGACCCACAGTGTGTTATCATAATCTATGGATGCCTATCTATCATGAACCTCTTCAACGATGCCAATCTAAATTATGCAATTAGCAAGGATCATTACTGACCCTACATTCAGCGTGCACTAGCACACTGCATCTTCTGTCAAATTAGTGTGTGTGTGTCTGTGTGTGTGTTTGTATAGTATATTCTTACATGTGCTGTGAGGCGTTGGGGAAGGCAGTGCTGTACTGTGGTGCTGAGTCCTCCGGCCCATGAGGGGCAGCGTGGCTCAGGACCATCATCACTGGTCGGTGGGGGTACATCCTCTTAGAGGAGCGGAAGTAGTTGATGCTGTCATTGGTAATGATGTCTGTGAGATAGTCCTGTGGAAGCAAGAATCACCTGTACATAAGGTTCTGAACTCTAATATTAGGCTACTTCCTCCCAGAAAGGGATAGAAAAATGTGTATAGAGCAATAAAGCATTTCATAATGGCTGCCTTATAACAGCATTTAGATTGAGATCATCTGTTTACTACTGTATACTACTGTTTACTACTGTTTACTACTGTATACTACTGTTTACTACGGTTACTACTGTATACTACTGTACAACAATATTATCATCATTTTTAAGAATTTAATGATTAAATCAGGGTTATTCATCATCATAGGATACTACTCCAATATTTGAGTGAAAACTGAAACAGGATGGAACCTTTGGATAGTTGCTGCCATGCTTCTCCCGTACGCCGTTCCTGCACAGAGTGTAGTTGTAGAAGCGAGAGTTCTTCAACAGTGCTACCCACTCCCTCCAGCCAGGGGGCACATACGAGCCATTGTACTCATTCAGGTACTTCCCAAAGAAGGCTGGGACAAGAGGTGGGGATAAGTACAAAGCGATTCTCTATGCAATAATTTGTGTGTGTCTGTGTGTGTGTGTATATATATGCTGCACAGCTCACACACACCTGTCCTGTAGCCTGAGTTGTTAAGGTGCACAGCGAAGGTGTGAGGCTCATGGTAGGCCTGCCAGGAGGGTGAGGAACAGTTCTCGTTGTTGGTGAAGGTGTGGTGGTTGTGAACGTACTTCCCTGTCAGAATAGAGGAGCGCGACGGGCAGCACATGGGAGTGGTGGAGAAGGCGTTAGAGAAATGGGTGCCTCCCTGCTCCATGATACGCCGTGTCTTATTCATGGCTTGCATTGAGCCTGAAGGAGAGAGAGACAAGTAAAAGAGAGAGAAGGGAAGGAGGGAGAGAGGGAAAGGGTGGGGGGAAGAGAGGCATGAAGATGGAAGGGGTGAGGGATGTGAGAGAGAGTAGGAGAGAGAGAGAATAAATATTGTATGTGAAGTGTTGCCCATTTCAATTAATGTGTACTAAAGGCTTTTCAGGCTGATGCCGATTGTTTAGTGAAACAGATGCTCGACCATAATTCCTGGTTTTCAATGGTATTCTCACGAGCAATCAGAGCGGGACAAGGGGTGTCAGTGAGGCCATTGTACTGGCACTCCAGTCCAATACGCAGTTTAACGGATTAAATGGGTAGGGAGATGGCCAGGGTTTGGCACTCAGACAATGGATGCCATAGGCCACTCGCTCTATGCCAATAGTGAAGTTGGCCATGGGGTACTTGACTTCGAGTGGGCAAATGGAGAATGGTGCCAAGAGGAAGCATTAACATGAACTCTCTCACTAACATGCTGACAGACACTGAACAAGCACCACACAGACACACACACACACACACACTGTGTTTTACCCAGTTCGATGTCCTGGTCGTCAGTGAGGATGAGGATGATGTTGGGTCGGACATTGTTGCGGGCTTGGCGATCCCTCTGCAGATGTGTCCGGTGGCGCTGGCCGGAGAGGAAGGACGAGCCCTGGGCCAGGGAGACCACCCCCAGGAGGAGGAGAAGGAGGCCCCGTCCTGCCATGGCTCTACCCTGTCTTCACCTCCTTCTCACTGCAGCACGGGCCACTCTGCTGGCACAGCTCCCTCACTCACCCTGACAGACACAGAGACAAGGATGAGACCAGACCGAAACGATCCATAACATACAAACTGCTACAATCTGGTAGCTATGCTGTGACAATTATAAAACATGTAATATTGACAAGTGAGAAAGTCTGTGGTCTATGGTCATCAAGAATATCTCTCCGTGAATTCTGTGTGAATTCTCTCTCTCTCTCTCTCTCTCTCTCTCTCTCTCTCTCTCTCTCTCTCTCTCTCTCTCTCTCTCTCTCTCTCTCTCTCTCTCACAGACACACTCAAGAAAATAACAGGCAGATGTGAGCAGAGCAATTACAGGGTGTTCTTCCATATAAATGCACCCATTTAGGCTCCTCTCGTTAATCAATCATTAATGACGCATTAGAGCGGTGTCATTGCCTCAGTGTAATGATCTCTGCTGATGAACACATGGCTCCCAGTCTTGGGCTAATGGGCCTGGGCCAGGGGCCAATGCTCCCTCGTCTACCCGAGATAACAGGGGGATGGAGCGGGGAGGAGGTGAAGGAGAGGAGAAAGAGTTTAAAGATGGGATGAGATGTACCAGAGGAGACAGAGGCTTTTGAGCAGGAGGGCATTATGGGATGTTTTGGTGAATGTTTGAGGAAAGAAAAAGCTCAAAATACAGAATGTTGTTGCTCTCAAATAGTTAAAAAGTGTGTTGAGAAAGTGTTTCAGGGCAGGATAACAAAGTGCTCATAAGATTGATTTCAGACAACGTAGACGTGGTGATGTGATGGTGCATTATCTGAAAATGATGTAGATGCAGTAAACTTCACTGATGCTTTACACACTGCGTTTCCTCATAAAACAATAGACATCACACTGACAGTGCTCTGCTAGTACAATGTCCTCTAAATTATAGCTTCATGCGTCATTTGCTAAATGTATACTTGTTTTATATTGATTTGATAATGCAAGTACACCTCTGACTTTTACAAACGAACCCCAACAGAGGTTGTCATGGAAACTGTCATGGAAACTGTATTACATATGTTCACAGTACATGAAATAGCAATTGAATGTACTTGCTGTAAATGTTTATAAAAGACTGCCTTGACTTTCCTGAATAGAAAGATGGTGTGGTGTTTCTTCTCACAGCTTTGAGATTGAGAAAGAATAGTATTAGCATTATTATTACACTGCTTCAACAACATATCACTGTCTCTGAGTTCAGAATCACTGGTCAAATGTAAAAGCAGTTGTGGAAAAAATACCCAATTGTCATACTTGAGTAAAAGTAAAGATACCTTAATAGAAAATGACTGAAGTAAAAGTCACCCAGTAAAATACTACTTGAGTAAAATAGTATCTGGTTTTAAATGTACTTAAGTATCCAAAGTAAAAGCAAATGCTATACATCAAATTCCTTATATAAGTCAAATGAGGCAGCACAGGGGCACACTAATTTACAAACCCAGTATTTGTGTTTAGTGAGTCCACCAGGTCAGAGGCAGTAGGGATGACCGCACGTTCTATTGATAAGTGCATGAATTGGATGATTTTGCTGCCCCTGGGCGTCAGGGAAAATTTATTGGGGAGTAAAAAGTACATATTTTCTTTAGGAATGTGGTGGAGTAAAAGTAAAAGTTGTCAAACTGTCACGACTTCCTCCGAGGCTGCCTCCTCTCCTTGTTCCGGCAGGCTTCGGCATTCGTCGTCACCGGCCTTCTAGCCATTGCCACTCCTCATCTCATCATTCCAGTTTTGTCTTGTTTATTACACACACCTGGTTCATATCCCCTCATCAGTACCTGTAAGTGTTCCCTCTGCCCCCTTGTCTTGTGTGTAGATGGTACATAGCTCGATGGAGCTAGATTTGTATTGTGTATTGCCGGGATATTCACCCATGTGCCTTGTCTTCCCCAGGGCGCCGTTTACCGCACTGGTGTATATTACGCATTGCTGCGTACCTCTGTTTATTTGAATAAACAATTTATTCTGTGATTTCCTCTCCTGCGCCTGACTCCATCCAACATCACCCGCTACACAAACATATACACTACTGGTCAAAAGTTTTAGAGCACCTAATCATTCAAGGGTTTTTCTTTATTTTTTACTATTTTCTATATTGTAGAATAATAGTGAAGACATCAAAACTATGAAATAACACATATGGAATCATGTAGTAACCAAAAAAGTGTTAAACAAATCAAAATATATTTTATATTTGAGATTCTTCAAATAGCCACGCTTTGCCTTGATGACAGCTTTGCACACTCTTGGCATTCTCTCAACCAGCTTCATGAGGTAGTCACCTGGAAAGCATTTCAGTTAACAGGTGTGCCTCGTTAAAAGTTAATTTGTGGAATTTCTTTCCTTCTTAATGCGTTTGAGCCAATCAGTTGTGTTGTGACAAGGTAGGGGGGTATACAGAAGATAGCCCTATTTGGTAAAATACCAAGTTCATATTATGGCAAGAATAGCTCAAATAAGCAAAGAGAAACGACAGTCCATCATTACTTTAAGACATGAAGGTCAGTCAATACGGAACATTTCAAGAACTTTGAAAGTTTCTTCAAGTGCAGTCGCAAAAACCATCAAGCACTATGATGAAACTAGCTCTCATGAGGACCGCCACAGGAGTGGAAGACCCAGAGTTACCTCTGCTGCAGAGGATAAGTTCATTAGAGTTACCAGCCTCAGAAATTGCAGCCCAAATAAATGCTTCACAGGGTTCAAGTAACAGACACATCTCAACATCAACTGTTCAGAGGAGACTGCGTGAATCAGGCCTTCATGGTCGAATTGCTGCAAAGAAACCACTACTAAAGGACACCCAATAATAAGAAGAGACTTGCTTGGGCCAAGAAACACGAGCAATGGACATTAGACCGGTGGAAATGTGTCCTTTGGTCTGGAGTCCAAATTAGAGATTTTTGGTTCCAACCGCTGTGTCTTTGTGAGACGCGGTGTGGGTGAACGGATGATCTCCGCATGTGTATTTCCCACCGTAATGCATGGAGGAGGAGGTGTTATGGTGTAGGAGTGCTTTGCTGGTGACACTGTCTGTGATTTATTTAGAATTCAAGGCACACTAAACCAGCATGGCTACCACAGCATTCTGCATTGATACGCCATCTCATCTGGTTTGGGATTAGTGGGACTATCATTTGATTTTCAACAGGACAATGACCCAACACACCTCCACGCTGTGTAAGGGCTATTTTACCAAGAAGGAGAGTGATGGAGTTCTGCATCAGATGACCTGGCCTCCATAATCCCCCGACCTCAACCAAATTGAGATGGTTTGGGATGAGTCGGACCGCAGAGTGAAGGAAAAGCAGCTAACAAGTGTTCAGCATATGTGGGAACTCCTTCAAGACTGTTGGAAAGCATTCCAGGTGAATCTGGTTGAGAGAATGACAAGTGTGTGCAAAGCTGTCATCAAGGCAAAGGGTGGCTATTTGAAGAATCTCAAATATTAAATAGATTTTGATTTGTTTAACACTTCTTTGGTTACTACATGATTCCATATGTGTTATTTCATAGTTTTGATGTCTTCACTTTGATTCTACAATGTAGAAAATAGTAAAAACTAAAGAAAAACCCTTGAATGAGTAGGTGTTCTAAAACTTTTGACCGGTTGTGTAAATAGTAAAGTTAAGTACAGATACTACCAAAAAACTACTTAAGTAGTACTTCAAAGTATTTTTTTATTATTTTTATTTTATTTTTTCACCTTTATTTAACCAGGTAAGCCAGTTGAGAACAAGTTCTCATTTACAACTGCGACCTGGCCAAGATAAAGCAAAGCAGTGCGATAAAAACAACAACACAGAGTTACATATGGGGTAAAAAAACATACAGTCAAAAAAATACAACAGAAAATATATATACAGTGTGTGCAAATGTAGCAAATTATGGAGGTAAGGCAATAAATAGGCTATAGTGCAAAATAATTACAATTAGTATTAACACTGGAATGCTAGTTGTGCAAGAGATTATGTGCAAATAGAGATACTGGGGTGCAAAAGAGCAAATAAATAACAATATAGGGATGAGGTAGTTGGGTGGGCTAATTTCAGATGGGCTGTGTACAGGTGCAGTGATCGGTAAGGTGCTCTGACAACTGATGCTTAAAGTTAGTGAGGGAGATAAGAGTCTCCAGCTTCAGAGATTTTTGCAATTCGTTCCAGTCATTGGCAGCAGAGAACTGGAAGGAATGGCGGCCAAAGGAGGTGTTGGCTTTGGGAATGACCAGTGAGATATACCTGCTGGAGCGCAGACTACAGGTGAGTGCTGCTATGGTGACCAATGAGCTAAGATAAGGCGGGGATTTGCCTAGCAGTGTTTTATAGATGGCCTGGAGCCAGTGGGTTTGACGACGAACATGTAGTGAGGACCAGCCAACAAGAGCGTACAGGTCACAGTGGTGGGTAGTGTATGGGGCTTTGGAGACAAAACGGATGGCACTGTGATAGACTACATCCAATTTGCTGAGTAGAGTGTTGGAGGCTATTTTGTAAATGACATCGCCGAAGTCAAGGATCGGTAGGATAGTCAGTTTTACGAGGGCATGTTTGGCAGCATGAGTGAAGGAGGCTTTGTTGCGAAATAGGAAGCCGATTCTAGATTTAACTTTGGATTGGAGATTCTTAATGTGAGTCTGGAAGGAGAGTTTACAGTCTAACCAGACACCTAGGTATTTGTAGTTGTCCACATACTCTAGGTCAGACCCGTCGAGAGTGGTGATTCTAGTCGGGTGGGCGGGTGCCAGCAGCGTTCGATTGAAGAGCATGCATTTAGTTTTACTAGTGTTTAAGAGCAGTTGGAGGCTACTGAAGGAGTGTTGTATGGCATTGAAGCTCGTTTGGAGGTTTGTTAACACATTTGTACATAGTGACTTTACACCACTGTATAAAAGAGTGTCACAAGGCCTCCTCACAAAAATTATTAATCAACAGCACCACTGACTAAGAGCATTGACAGGTTTCCCCCCTGTTAGAATGGCCTGTGTTTGCTCAGTGTTCTGTGGATCTACAGGGAGTGTATGCCTC